TTTAGCGAAATAGAAGAGAAGACATTAAAAACACAAATAAGTAAAGAAGTATATAATTAATACAAGATCAGTGGCTACAATACATAGGCATTAATGATTAATTGGACAAAGATATCAGAGGATAAAAGAAAGAAGGAGTGAATTGTACATGGACCAAAGCATAAGCAGCAACTCAGTAAGATTTCCAAGAAGAAAAAGAAAAAGATTCTTGCCGAGCACTGGTTATTACAAAAAGTAGAAGACAAGACATATACTGAGATAAGTAAATGTAAAGGTTGTAAGAACAGAGCAGAACAAAGTGTAGATAATTGTGAAAGATGGATAAAATGGAATAACAACATAAAGGCAGTTCCAGAAACACTAGTAGAGAAGGGTGGTAATAAGATTAATGCAACATTAGAGCAAATGTTAGAAAACAGAATAACAGAAAAATGGAAAAAAGAAGAGAGAGGTCTAATTGAACTTAAACAAGTAGAAGAACTAGAAATAGAATTGATCAAGAAACAAAAATTTGATAGTAAAGTTACAAATTACTTAATAGAAACTCTAACGAAAAACAAGAAAAGAAATAAAGACAAATATACTTTTTATACAGATGGCACATTATATAAAGAGAAAAAGGAAAATAGTATAAGAAAGATGGGCATCAGTTGAGTGCAAGTTAGTAGCAGAGAAGACTGGTTAGAAGAAGAAATGGCACTAAAACTTGAAGGTTAGCTCTCAGCAACAACAGCAGAATTAGCAGCAATATAGTTAGCAATCTTAATCATATTAGAAGAGAAGCATATAGAGGTGCATACAGATAGCCTTGCAGCATTAAGGCATATTAACAGAGCAATTCAAAAAATAGAAGATGACAGAGTTTTGAAGAAGAAATATGCGATGTGGATAATGAATATTGTTAGTTTACTCAAAAGCAAGAACAATAAAATAGAACTAGTTAAGATTAAAAGTCATAGTAATGACAAGTGGAATGATAGAGCAGATTTACTTACAAAAAAAGAAGCAACATGTAGAAGGACAATAGTTACAGAGAAGATTAAGTGTAATACAATAGAGTACTATTTAGAATGAGAAAATAGAAAAGTTTATATACTAGCAAGACTTCTATACAAAATAGTCATGAATGCCAGAATTGGAGCTAGTTGGAAAAAAACAAATCCAATTCGAGCACTAGAGCCAGAAACTGAGAACACTTGATATAATTGGTCAAGCTTTTGAAAAGAGATGAATAGAACAAAGGGTGTATACTGTATAATAAGAAAACTCAGTACAAAGAGAGCAACAGTGATCAAATGTATGATGGATAGCCTACCAATACTAGAAGAACTAAATAGAAGAAGGTCAGAAATATACACAATGACTGATTGCCAAATATGCCAAAAAGGTGAAAAGGAAATCCAAGCACACCTAGCAAGCTGTATTGAACAAAGAAGCTTGTGGAAGAAAATTCAAAAGATAGCAATGGCAGCAGTTTGGAATAGTTTGAAAGAAAGCGAAAAGATTAGAATTCTGCCTCAAATGCTATATGAGGCAATTTTTGGAAAGACAGAAGCAGAAGAAATTACAAACAGAACAGCCTTGATAAAAGGGCTAACAACAAGTGAAGTTGGAAAAAGGATCAGTCAGATTCTAGATAGGCAGGCAATACAAAAATGCATAGATATAGCAACAAAAACAGTATGGAATACATTCTATGACCAAGTATAGAGAGTTCAATGTAAAAAGGTACAAGAATAGAAAAAGAAGGTCAATATAATAGGCAAAATGAAAAAAAATGCTCAAACCAAAAGAAGATCAGAAAAGAAAACAAAGAAGAATAAGACAACAAAAGAGGAAGAAAAGGAAAAGAAAGTAAGAAAAATAAATCGAATAAAGAAAGAAGCTTGGAAGTCAATTGATATACTTGTCACAGAAGAGGAAATACCTTTCTGATATAGCTTTAAGTAATTAGACAAGCAGTCTATCTTTAACTAAGATAGTGCGGCAGGTTGCACTTAGGTGCCAATAGGGTGGCTGAATGATGCTAGACTTAAGTATTGGAAAATTCTATGTAATTATGATGTATATAGTTTTAAGAATCTTAATAAAGTACTAGTGTAACTGCTTAAGATGTAAAAAAAAAAAAAAAGATTAATTGACTAAAATAGATATAAGTGTAGAATTAAAGAATTTGAAGTTAATTAGATATAAAAATAGATTTGAAGAAGTTAATTTGAATGTTGGCTATTTGGTAAATGAATGTTATAGTTTAAAGTATCTGTTCAAGTTCTAATTTGAATTGAAATATTCAAAGTGTATTATTTATATAGTTTTGAGTAGAGAGAGGCTGGTTGGCTATGTTGTAAATAATAAATAACCTTTATGCTATGATGTAACTTTGTGAATAAGTAAGTTATAATATATTTGTTAAAAAAAAAAAGTAATAGTTTTATCTTGGTATATTTTATTTTTAACTAAATAAAAATTAATAAAACCAAATTTATAATTACTTTGTTTTAATAATTTATAAGTAGATTAATAAATATATTAATACAAGTTACAGATTTAGAGGGTTTAAAGTGGAACATCCAAGTAGGAGTGTTAGGTACGGCAATTGGTAGGGAACCTTTAGACAGACTCCTTAAATAGGTAATATAGAAAAGTTACACATGTAGCCAATTGTACACTCTCCTGTAGTAGTTCATTGAACCACAATACCAATAAGTGATTAATAAAAGTCAAAAGACCAAAGAGGTCACTTAATACCAAAAAAAAAATAAAATAAAATAAATATATTAATCAGTTTGAATGTCATATTAATATAGTTAAGAGCTTTTTTAAATAGGTTCAAGTTGATTAAATCATAAACTTTGCTTATGTTTTATAATATAAGCCAAAGTTTTTTAAATTGCAACTATATTTTTGATAATATTGTTAAGTATATAAATAGAAATAACAATACTATTGCCTAGAAGGATAATATAGTTGTAAGATAAAAGTATTTTGAATTTTGTAAAAGTATGATTTAAGTAATTTGTAAGCAGTTTGGTATATAGTTTTTTAGTATGCTCAAAAAGACTAATAGATCTAATATTGATAAAATTATTATTAAAGATTGGTTTTTTGAAGATTAAAAAGATTTTATCTTCTTTTCATTATTTAGATATATAGTTTGTAAAAATATATTTATTAAATAGATCAGTAATTGCTTAAAGAAATAATGAGTCTACATATTTGAGCATTTTATAGCTAATGCCTAAAGGATTACAGGCTTTATTGTTTAAAAATAAGCTAGTGTTGAATTGATTTCATCAATACTAAATTCAAATAGAATATTGTTATACCATTTAGAGTTAATGTCTGATTTAGGATTATAGTTATTTTGTTAGTCAGATTTATATATTTGTTAATTAATATGTTAGTATAATATTTATTAATCTAAATATTGTTAAATATGAAGTTTAATATTAGGTATATTAGTAATAAGATTATTGTTTGTTCTGATATTATCAAATTTAATAGGATTTTTATACTAATTAAGAATATTATTAATTATAGAGATAAAGTTTAATTGTAGTTTATTATATCTTTTAGTAATATTGTTATTAATTTGTTGTTTAATTTTTTTAATATTTTCTATATTACAAGTATAGTATAATGTTATTTAGTCATTTTTGACTAAGACTAAGTAGTCTGATATTAGATTATGCTTTGCTAATAGTAATAAAATATTGAAATTACAAGATATATTAATATAAGTAATGAGTTAATTATAATAAAATAGAATAAGTTTTAAGTATTAAAGTGTATGTTTAATTTGTCAAATAATATTATCAAGTTTTTTAAAATAATAGTGTATTTTTGAAGCTTTTATAAAAAAAATATACTGAAAATTTCTAACAATAAATTTTTTGTTAAAAATATATTATAGAACTATAGTAATAATACTATTTTGAATTTTGTATTATATAGATTCCAAAAATTCTAGAGTTTGTATAGTGAATAGTATTTAGTTAATACTTAAGTTTGAAATTATTTGGTCTAAAAAGAGTTACTATTATTTATTATTCATGTTTTTTGTATAAGAATATTTTTTATTAGGTTTTAGTTGAATAGCAAAGTTTGACTAAATATGTATAAAGAAAAAATCAGTTGGAAATACTATATCTACTACTTTGCTATATAGGTATAAAGAATTATATATAATTGTCTAAGTTATATAAATTATTATATTAAAGAAAATAAAGTAATTTATATTTGATTGAAAAAGATTAGATAATATAATTAAAAGCATTAAAGTTATTCAAGATAATAGATTGCATATTCAGGATGATAACTTGTTAAATCTATTGTATAATAATATTTTGTACTAATAGTCTAAGTTGAAAATTGTCATATGACAAGTAAATTGAAATAATTCTAAACTTGATTATACATATTTAAAAAAAGATTTATTGCAATAACATATCTTAATATCACAAATTATTACTAAAATTGATCTTTGAACTATCCAATAGATTAAATATCATACTTCTCTCTCATATATTATTACTAATACTCAAATCTAGATGAGCCTTGGCTACTCTTGTAAGTTTAGATTATAGATTATATGTCTGAGTCTTTATTCTTTATATGTAATTTAAAAGCAAGTTTTTTTTTATAAAAATTTCAATTGAATTTCAATAAAGTTAAAGGCATGGCCTTACCATTAATATTAAAAAAAAAAAATTCAACTTACATTTCAAATTTCAAATGTTCAGGATGCTTATTTACGATCGACAATTTTATTTATAGGGGTGCGGTAGAATACGGTAAGTAGAAGGTACATTTTTAAAATTAACGATTTTGATTGGTTATCACTTTTTAGAAGTGATCTGCAGCATGTGTAACCACCTTTAGCTTTAGAAACCGACGTTTCACTTATAAGAATACCCTTTGCGCGGTTTTAAAACTTTACGTTTTCAACGACCATTTATTGCGAATTCGTGTTTTTATCTCATGATAGCCCGGATAAAGTAATGCCGTCCGACGAGAGGTAAGGGTTTACAAGTTAAATTAAAATTGTAAATTATTTATTAAAATGCTTGACTCTATTTAGGTACTTTTCTGATGCCTCAAAACTACGGACCCCTCTAAGATCGCAGGTTGACGATATTAGTGATAACAATAGATGTTTATCATCAGTCGAGTGTCCAGAAATTGTGCGTGACACGCCTAGAAATCCTTTAATCGGGTCTAATATTAAGAAAAATAGCCCAATTGTAACGGAGCGTGATTTGGCTCTAGTTTTGTAAGCAATTTATTACCGTTTCTTGTCTCATTTCTTTAACTAACTAATTGATATAAATTTATTAAAGCCGAGGAAGAAGATATCCTATTCCACCACAATTTTATGATTATGACGATGACGACAATGAAGATTTTAAAATGTGAGTTAGGTAACTACCTATAGACATTCTATATCATATTTATTTTTAATTCCTACATTTCAATCTTTATCATTATAGCAGGGACATAAAGCCGCGAAATCTATTACCTCTTTTATTAGCTGAAGCTACAAGTTCATCACAATGTGCAGACTCAGTCGAATCTAACATAAAGGAAACAATCAATGACAAGTAATTCAACTATCTTATTATAAATAATCATTTTTACTGCTGTCACTAAATTATTTGTCTGTTCTACAAGAGATGAGCCTACAACAAACATTTCCATTACTAACGCCACAAAAGCTAAGAGAGGTTCGGACAATTCCTCTATGAAACCTAAGAAAAGATTAGGCGTAAGTTACATTTGACCTTGTAACAGGAGTAGATATTTGATACTCAAATATTTGTAAATTTGTAGCAGTCACGAAATAAATGTATCACTGATTATGGTAAAGGTACAAAACAAAATTGTTCCAAGACAACTATCACACGAAAATCCAAAAGAGCGAAGCGTTAATAAATCGTACTTTTATATGGCGATGGTTTTCGTGGGCTATGTTTATTAATTGTCAACGGGATTTCTTATCGATACAATTAGGGGGTTTCGACTTTAATGTTATTTTTTTTATATTTATCTTGGATTCGACATTCCATTCATTATCATTATCGGTTCTTATCTAATTTCAACGCCGGATCTCGGTGCTTTATTAAACCATTCTTAAAGATGATTCTACATTATTACTAATTTTTCATTGGTTATTAAATATCGCGGCTGAAGCTAGAAATTAGAGACCCCGATTTAAAAATATAAACCTTATCAAAATCTACTTGTACACTTTTATTATTAAAACTATACAAAAAAAGATAAAAGAATGAATCCAAAAATTTTTGAAAATTTCGTATCAAGGTATTTAAAATTTCCAGTTCCAGCTTCGGCCAAATTTTTTATTAGTGCAAACGCATATCACTTAAATCGTCCCACTATTTTCGTAAGTTTGAAATAGAGACCACGAACACATTATAGACGCACAAAAGATGATTAATTGTTATTGTTTTTATGAGATTTATGTGGCATTTGTGTTGGCATTTTAAACGAATAGTTTTTTTTTTGTTTAAGAGTGAGACCTTTTATTGATAGCGTTTGTAAAAATTACAATTTAATGAGAAAATATTTTTACATGTTATTGTTTGGAGCGAGGGTTTGGCAATCAGACAAGTGGATTGTTCAATGAAATTTAAATTTTTAAAATCTTAAATTTTTTTTTTGAACCAAAAATTTTTTAGCAAATCAAATAATTAGAATAGTAATTTATTTTTAATTTTTATTTTATGTGTTAATAGATTAATAGACATCAGACAAAATTTATATATTTAATGTTTGGTATAATTTATCAGATATAGAAGGTTGTTTAATTTTGTTTTTATGTTTTAAGAGTAGGGGTACTATGTATTTTAAAATTTTATATAAACTTTATAATAATTTTTTTATATATTTATTTTGTTAAAAATTAAAACAGGTTTTTCTAATTCTAATAATAGTAAAATTGTTAAGATATAAAATTTTAAACATTAAGATATATAAAATTAGAATATTGTAGGATGTGATGACTTAGTGAAGTGGTTAGGTTGTCAATCCCCAAGTGGCAAGTTTAGAGTTCAAATTCTATGGATAACAAATTTTAGAAAATAGGTTTGTGTAAAAGTGAACTATAGTCAATGTTTGGGTATGGTGTTAAAATACAAGAACTGGTAGATGCATAATTGTGGAAAAAAGGAGCAGTCAGAGTAAATGAAGCTGGTTTAATATATTTAAATTAATTACTCGACACAAGAGAAGAAAAACTAATTACATGGCAGCAACTCAAAAATTATCAAGACCAATTAAGTAAAGGAAAGAAAGCAAAATAGTTCAAAGCAATTGAGTTAAAAGTGCTTAGCAGCCTAAAGAACAGAGTAGTACAAAGCTATTTTAGAATGGGTGAACAAAACACCTAGGCAATACAAGTCAAATAGGAGTATATATCAGAAGATAGAAGAAGAAAAGAATGGATATTATATGGTACACAAAACCACAAACAGCTTGGAAAAGTAATCAAAAAGAAAAAGAAAAAAGTATTAGTTGAACATTGTCAGATAAAATACAAAGAGAATGAAATAACAACTGAGATTAACAGATGTGAAGGATGTAAAAGTAAAGAAGAACAGATAAAAAACAGTTGTCAACAATGGATAAGATTAAACAAAAACACTCATATAATTCCAGATAGATTAATAAGTAAGAGCAGTAATAAGATTAAAATAGCTATAGACCAAATGACAGATAAGACAGAAATAGACAAATCAAAAATAAGTGAATACAAACTAAAGGGACTTACAACAATAGAAGAACTAAAAATAGAAATTATCAAATAACAAAACTGGAAGAAAATATTAGTCAAGAAATAATAAAAATTCTAAAGAGAAACATTATAAGAAACAAGAGCAAATATAGGAACCCTCACAGCAAAAGGTGGCAATGTGTCAAAAAAATTTTTTTCTTAAAAATACAATTTCTTGAAGAATTAGAGTAATAGGCATATAATTTTTATAAAATTACAGAATCAAAATTTTTGCACATTGCCACCTTTTGCTATGGTCATCCCTATATATAATATATACTGATGATGCAACCAACGGAAGAGATAGTAAAGAGCCAATATCTAAAAATGATATGGATATAAAATGGGTCCAAACAAATGAAATGCAAGAATGGCCAGAAGAAGAGATAGTTTTTGGACTAGAAGAATGACAAACATCAACAATAGCAAAGTTGGTGGTAATTTGAGCAGCAATTCTAATAATACCTAAAAAAAAACAAATAGAAATACATACAAATAGTAATGCTGCAATAAGAAATATTGGTAGAAACCTAAAACAAGCAGACAGAAACAAGATTATTAAGAAAAAAAATGCAATATGGATAATGAAGATTAAAGACCTCATCAAAACAAAAAAACATTCAGATAGAGTTAGTTAAAGTTAAAAGTCATAGTAAATATAAATGAAATAATAGAGCTGATAGTTTAGCAAAAAAGAGAACGACAAGTAGAAAAATAGTACAGGCTGAAAGAGTCAGTTATAAAGAAATAGAATATTGCCTAAAGTAGAAAAACAGAAGAACTGATATATCAGCAAGACTGCTTTGCAAGTTAGTAATGAATGTAAAATTAGGAGCAGAGTGAAAAAAAACAAAAGCAATTAAAAGCTTAGAGCCAGAAGCAGAAATCACAATTTATGATTAGACTTATTTTTAGAAAAGACTAAAGACGACCAAGAGAATACACTGCACAACAAGAAGAAGCAGCTTTAGAAGAAGTGTGTTTATTAAATACATAATAGATAAACTTCTGATATTAGAAGAACTTAACAGAAAAAGGCCAGATATATACATAACAGTAGAATGCCAAGTATGCCAAGATAAAGTAAAAGAGATACAAACACACTTGGCAGCATATAAAAAGCAAAGAAATTTCTGGAAGAGAATCTAAAAAATAACCATTGCAACAGCATAGAAGAAGTTAAAGGTAGATGAAAAGATTTGAATTCCCCCATACATGTTATATACAGTGCTCTTCGGAAAAACAAAGATAGAGGAAGTTAAAATAAGAGATGCATTAATAAAAGACTTAATTCCAAAAGAAATACAAGACAAACTAGCAAAGCTATTAAACACAAGATCAAGACAGCAGTTTACAAATACAGTAGCAATAATGGCCTAGAACATATTCTATGAACAAGTATAGAAAATATGTTGTAAAAAAATCATCAAATAGGAGGAAAAAAGTAGAATAACAGATAAAACTAAAAGAAAAAAAAATGAAAATTTAAAGGAACCAAAAAAAATGAGAAAAGGCAAATCAGAAAGAAAGAGATGAGAAAAAAGAAAAAATAAGAGAAAAAGGGAAGCAAGTTGAGAAAGAAGTAACGAAGACAATGTTGGGGCTTGTTTTTTATTTTTTTTTTAATATTAATGGTGAGGCCATGCCTCTATCTTTATTGAATATTTAATTGAGATTTTACATGAAGTACA